GGGGAGGCTGTGCCTCTGGAGAAAGCTGTGGTGGTGATGCCCTGCTTGCTCCCTGCTTTTCCACTAGCCCAGCTGCAGGATTTTGCTTGCCAGGATTTACACTGATACAGCTAATCACTGAATGACACAGGCAGAAGTTACCTGCTGTGAGAGAGTGGTTTGGTACTTCCAGCTGGTAAAGCCTCCAATGGCAGCTCAGGCTACGCTTCTTGAATCAGGTAGCAGCTCTGCAGAACAGAGAGGATTTCACCATTGGGATCACGCAGGCAGGCAGCGAAGGAGGTAAGAAATAGTCAAGATGAAAGCAAAAAAATTCAGGGGCAGAGGGCTCCAGCACTGGCTACGTGCTGCTGCCGCTGGGGTCAGCCTTGTGGAGCTCTCCCCTCCCGTCCGTGCTGCTCCAGGACGGGGCACTCCGCCTCCACAAAAATCCCACTTTGGGCTGGAGGAACCTGCCTCTATTTTGCACTAAAACTTCAGAAGAGACAGAAGACTCCCGCCCCTCCCCACCCCGGGTGTTCCTCCTCTAGGATCAGGGCTCTTGAAGCCCCGTCTCAGATTACGATTTCATGAAGCGAAACCCTGGCAGAGCAGAGAGGCATCGGTGCAAAGGCACGAGGCTGTTTCAGCATTACTGTGTGCTCTTCTTACACGTTATGCAGTTCGTTCCTATTCTGCAAAGCTAGAGTGCAACTTTTCATCTACTCTGGAAAATCCTCGACAGACAGGGTGAGGGCACTGCTCACTTCGGGACCCTGTTCTCACAGGGCAATTGTGTGCCCAATTCAGTGCTTTCCTTAGGGAATTTGTGAAGGTTCTTGAACTGCAGCTTGCATCTGAATTTTTTTTTCTTCAAGCTATCTTTATTGAAAAAAAAAAGGCCTAAAGTGGATTAATTTTCCTTTTCTTTAAAGTGTGAGGTAGATGTTGGAATAAATTAATTGTTCAGAGTATCTGTACAGCCACCTCTTTATCAATCCTTCCTATTCTGAGCCCCTGCTACCCAAAGGTCACGCTATACAACTTCAGCTTTTGTCCATGGATCACAATTATTCCACATTGTATTACACCCACAAGCCCCCTTTTCTATTGTCAATCACTACATGCCCAAATCACACTGATTGCACATTCCTTGCAAGCACATTACTGGATCTCATGGATAATCAGAGGATTTATAGATGTGCAGCCACCCATACATGTCCCAGTACTAAAGATATCTATTTTTCCTCTCCACAGTATAATGAAAAGATAACTCCACCCTACAAAAAAAGGTCATTAGCTTGATTTCAGAAAGACACTAAGGCAGGAAATCAGGTTCAATACTGGTAAGCAGCTAATCCTCATTTTCAGCTGTTCAGTCACATTATACATGGCTTCCTTGTATCAGAGGAGATATTTGCCAAGTGTAAGTTTTTCTCTCTAAATAAATGTTTTAAGAATACTCCCAAGTGGCATTTGGAAACCCTTCTCCAAGATTTTACAACTTGTAACACAAATGTTCCAACAGTTATGTTCAACATAATGCACTTAGTAGAAGTAGTTAATTTTCCTGAATAGTACTTCGATAAAACAAGGCATCAGGAGACAAAGCTGAAAAGGAAAGTCTCTTATGGGAAACCCAGACTAACTGTTGTGAAAAAGATAAAGAGTATTTCCAGATGTGTAAGACACCTTGCAAGATTCTCTCAGTTCCTATGAGAGCCAAACTGAAAGCGTTAACACCCCATCTCCCTAACCCGCATGTACATTATACTCACAGTGAAAATTGTCTTTTAACTTTCCCCTCTGCATATGTGCAATGGACTGTTTTACAGTAAATCAGACTGGTCTGTGAGACGAGTGGTGTTCTTGAGACCAGCACTGCAAAGTACTTTTATTCCCAACTGTTCATTTTATGACATGACATGTGGCAGCAATTTCTGCTTTTTTATATGTAGATCTACGGGCTGCCATCTAGCCCTGCCAAAAAAAGGACGAAAAAAATATGAAGGTTGCTGTTTTCCAGCTCTTTCTGCCCCTTGCATGACAAAACAGGAATGTAACTGGATGACCCTGTGTCAGAAAGACCAAAAAGAATTCAGCAATATACTGGGAAAAAACCTGCTTGCACTTAAAAGAAGCCCAAATATACCACCAAAAAAAAGGTTGCAAGCAAACTGCAGCATGCAACAAACAGATTTACTCAGCACCACTATTCTGCTGCCATTTTAGAGGAAGAATAAAAAGAACTGAACCAATACTGGGCTAGATATGACAGTTTGAAGGATCACTTAATCACACCCAAAAAGATACTGGTTCTCATGTGTACTGTAGGGTACTTGACCTGAATCCTCACACAACTTAGAATCAACCCTACTTAAAGAGAACAACAGCTCAAAAGACAGCAGGATATAAGGAGTCAAAAGCAGCATATTACTGCCATTTCACATGTTTTCAATACAAATTCAGGGATCAAATATCTAGAAATTCAAAAGCCACAGGTAAAACACTACGAAAACATATGACTTCAGGCAATATTCGCTGTGTTCTAAAACTTTAAATTTATACCCTGTATCATGATGCCATGGATTATGAAGCAGACTAATTAAAAAGGAAAATTATGTCTTTGCTTAAAAGTAATGCATTTTGTTATTAGAGCTTTTACTGTAACTACTTTTGTGCAGTACATCTAATGAGACCCAGTGTGCAGAAACATAGGTTTGATGGGAAAACACTGGCAGCTTTGATAGCTGAGTAGAGGTATTCACTATTTATGCCATTTTTATTGTAACACTACATGGCAACATACAAGTCCCAGCTGAATTTCTACTAGAACCACTTCTGCTTTCTGGCAAATATTAGCCTAAGTGTACTGACTGCTACGTACTCATTCCACAGTCTATTGCTGCCCATTAGACAGTCACTCAAAACTAATGATTTTACATTTTATATTTTTAAATATAAACTGCACTGAACAAATGCATTCAAGGCCAGAACCTGACCTGGATAAAAAAGAAGATTATACAGAAGCCCCAGGTTTTGTGCACATTCCTGATAAAATTATCAGTGAAAATTAACTGTGTTATGTAAGTCCAAACAGATACTCACACAGTACATGACTCAGCAGAAAGATGGAACAGAAGACATTCATCTCTCTCAAAGCAGTTAAACATTGAAAAAAACGTTACGCTGAAGGAGTAGCTTTCACAAAGTTAAATTCTGAAACAACTCAACTGGGAACACTGGATCTGTGGAAACCCATGGGCACCATAAATGGAATTCTAACTTCTCCACTATACACTCCAGGGTACCCCAGGCTGAACCAGAGGACACCAGATAAATCAAACAATGACTGGAAAGCAATATTGCAGCAATGCCCCATGCTACAAGCACAAGCATCAAGCACTGGGTGAGTCAAGAAAATGTTACATGCCTTCATCATGGTAGAACATGCAGCAGTGCTGGAAACAACTCAATTATCCTGCATGCAACCCTCAACACTTCAGAAAACTTGAGTAAAAATTCACTACTGGTCCATCTACCACTGGTGCTATGTAGAACTGAAACTATGAACTCCTGCCTTTTCATTAACAGACCAAAAGCAAAGGGGCCTCAAGAAAGTCAGCTTTATTCTAGACCATTTCACATGCAGATATATCACCTGGAACTTTCTTCCTAGCCTTATTTAGACATCCACTAACATGAGTATCGCTTTCTAAGGGTTTAACTCAGTAATTCCTCCAGACTAGACAAAATACAAAAAGGGGACGGAAATAATCCATAAACTGAGATGAGATTCCATTTACTGGCCTGCTGCAGCAGTGTTTTTCTACAGAACAAGACAGTCTGAGATTTACTTTCTACAGAGCATCTATAATGACTTTAAAACTACAAATTGGCTGTTGAGGCATTAGAGTAGGGCCTAGCTTAGGCTCACTTTTTACTAGCCTTTTGTCAGCACCTGCTACATAATGAAAGAAGTGTGAAGTCTATGAAGTGCGACATGAAATACAAAGAAACATTGTTCGTGAATTAAAACTGGCAACGATTGCTTCTCCAAACCTCTATTACTGATAGTCTATTCAATTTTCTTCAGAATTAGTTACATTTCTGGGAATACTGCCAAGAAGCTTTAGCTAATATACAGCATCAATGCCAGACATATACAGAACTTTATGCTATTTGGTAAAGCAACCTAAACAGGCTGTAGAGGTCTCTGTTCCTCAGATTATTTGTGCTTCAGGAGACTGGTCAAAGCCTGTATATTCTAAAACTTTACCTTGTTTTCCCTCCCTTCCCTCCTTTATTCCTTACCCTTTTAATTTCCTTTCCAACGTAAATGCATACTGTACATAATATCTGAAACACTATTACATCAAAGCAGTATAAAGATTACTCATTCTAACAAATACTTTTTTTTTATACTATAAAAATCTGTATCATTAGTAACTGTCTCGCAGGGCCGCCCACTGAACCATAAGATGAAGCTTGCTTGTGGTGACAACTACTTTCAGCTCAGCAATTTCAGGTAAAAACACCCATCAAAACATTTCAAGAGATGTTTCAGTATGCCTAAACAGATGTTATCTTGAATTCTGGAATTATTTTCTTGTATGTTCATAGGTACTGCTGCATTTCATGAACAAACCTTTCATCAAAAATGAAACATGCTGTCAACAACTTGTACAAAGGTAAATGTGAAAAATATAATCTGATTACAAAAGAATTTGTTAACACCATCTGTACAACATAGATAATGCCTTTCATAAGATAAATTCAATCACCATCCTTATTCATTCTTCGATGTTATCCATTCATAAAGCATGCCTTTTCTGTGTACTTTTACGCCACAATTAGTGTTTTATAGTACTTCCTACTTTAGTGGGATCAGTTATTATATAGTTACTCAGTTGAGATCAAGGAGGGGAAAAGCTTGTGTGTTATTTTAATGAAAAGATATTGTCCTATCTAGCTCCAAAAGAGCCAAGAAAGGTAAGTGATAAAAGCACCAGCTTAGACTCTTGAACATAAACTCAGGCATTTTAATGTGTATCTCAGTAAAGCTACACATATTTGCATGTAGGTTATTCACACATATTATGGCACTTAGACTTTCCTAACAGGTATTTAGTCACCTAGGATATCTAGGATAAAAAAGAAAGGTCTGCTAAAATTAACCATTTCTGTAAGAAAACCATTAATTTTCCTGGAAGTTGCATCAAAACACAATAGTTCATATTTCACATTATTTGAGTAAGCTGCCTTTGACAATGATGTCACGTTAACTTAGATCTCTAGTGATTTGTGACTACAAAGGCAGGCAATCTTACCCACTTTCAACAAACCAAGTTGTGTACTGCTCCTTAGTAACTATAATATGGAGTATTGATACTTGTGTATCCATTAATTTGTTGGACTAGAGTCTCTGAAGTAATTATACATACTAAGAAAGAAGGCCAAATTTAATTAAAGGTGGCTTACAGTGCTAGCTTTTTCTCCATGTAAGGCATTATTCTGACATCTACTGGCCTGATTTCCAACCATACATTTTAATATACTTCATTTGTTATTGAAAATGAGCGTATATATTAATCCAAAGATAAGAACAATTAAAAAACCACAGACAACACACATTTAAAACAGGCCCATGTATTTTCATATAAATGTCACAACCCTGCCAGTATTTTGGTAGGTTTCTATTGCTTTCTTATCTCATCTGAACCACTGTATGAGGCTTTAACGCAAGCAGCTTTGGGACAGAAAGTTACATTTGGAAGGGAAAAGAAAATGGAGACAAGTAAAAAAAAAATTAAATCCAAGAAGCTCTTAAAAAAAAAATCTTTACTTGCAAAATGAAGCAGCTATTTTGTGATTCATATTTGAACTTATAAAGACTAATTAGACCAAAATAAAAACCTAAAAATGGCAATTCTATAAATAATGACAATTTTGATATCACTAGACTTTAATGAAAAGCATTTGGTAATTAAATACTTGCTACTTTTCATTTTGTTGATGAACTTTATTAGGGTTAAAACTGTAACAAAGTTCATCCTAAAACATTTTGCAATGCAAAATTATTTTCACTCGAGGAGTGTCTCAAATTGAGTGCTAAGAATTACAAGCAATCTCCAGAAGCAGACACTCACATTCATAAAACTTTATACATCTTTTGGAACTAAGATATTTATACTACTAAAATCAAACATGCATCACTTCCCATACATTCTGGTATCATGATTTATATTACATTATGTAACACCATTCTTCTGAACAGCAGCAGTTTTATCATACGTTTGCTCCATTTTCTTTGGATTTCTGATCTTTATCTTCGCTCTTCACAATATCCTTTAAAAGAAAAAGGGAAAGGATCACATGAATTACAAAGTGATATTTCTCATGTGAACTATAAAGCAGCATGAGACAAGATACTGTTTGGTATCAACTTTAAGTATTATGTGAACTGATATCTTACTCAGTTTATTTATAACCAATTCATATTTCCAGTATTTTCCTGAAAATTGAGGTAGCAGAAATTAAGTGTGACTTAAGCACTTCTGAAGAGAAGCATAAAAAGCATGCCCAGAAGCCTCATTTTGTAGTCTAAAGGTCTGGGGGTTGCTGAGCCTTTTTTTCTTTTTTTTTTTTTTCTTAGTTGCTGTTTCTTTCACTATTTGAAGAGCAACTGAAACCAGTTTTTGCAAAACCCACTGAATTAGGAAATTAGGATAATAACTTACTGTAACAGTTCCGGCAAGGTATTTATATTGGCCAAAGCCATCTGAAAACACTAGGCTTCAAAGACATTCTCATCTCAAAAATACCAGACAGAAACGAGCAAGGTATTTAACTGAGCTAAGAGCAAGGCAAAAGAGTTATGCAGTGCCTTCATCTGTGGGCTCTGGTGGAGTGGGAGTTCTACAGCATGTAATGAAGCACAGGACTGCATAATGATATTGATGACAGATGTGCAAAAATATGCAAATATCTTTCTGCACAAGGACATAAATGCTCTGGAACATAATCTGGTTGGCTTAAAACTAATTTTACAAAATACCTCCACATGAATTGAAATACTTAAGTTCTGCCTTGAAAAACTACTCCTAACTGACCAAACAGAAGAGCAGATTTGGACTGCTGGGAATGGACAAGATCAAGACAGGAAAACCCTAAGATGGTCTGAGATAAAAACTTTTTTGTTTCAATAATTTCTTCTACAGGAAGCCTGTATACAATAATAAAAAATGGAATTAAGCAATTCTAACCTTTTTAAGAACACTCTGTATTTCATCCATAACAGTAGCTAAATTTTTGATTGTCTTATTCAGCTGACCCTCAAATTGCAAGTTTTTATCATCCGAGATCTTCAAATTTTCTTGCAGATGACCAAGGTCCTTTTTCACTTCTTTGAGCTCTGTAGATAGACTTCTGTTAGAATTCTCCAGTTGTAGTATGGTCTTTTCGTCCTCACCTTAGAAGGAAGGGAACAAGGAAAAAAAAGTCACTTCCAGTGACATGTGCTGTGCATCTTAACATTCCATTTACATGCCAACACCAGAACTACAAATTTTTAAAGAATGCTGAATGCTGCATTACATTACGATTTGATAATACTCAAGTCTGACTACATTTGGAAGTCTTACATTCACCTTGAATAAACCATAAAAGCATTTCAGCATGTGACAGTGGTACTCAATAACAGCTGGTGTGCAAGGTCAAAGAGCTTGGGAGATAGAAAATAAAAAAAAATGGGTAAAAAAACAGACAAGAAATTTAGACCACAAGTATTACTTAAATTGGTTTATCTACTTAAGAAGCCTTGCATCCATGTAAGCACCACCTTCAAAGTAACGTCCAACCTGTTTTTTCTTCTAGTAACTGAAGCTTTTGTTCTATTTCTGCCCGCACTCTTTCACTCTTCTCCAGCTTCTGTAAAAGGCTCCCAACATCCACCATAGCTCCATTGTACACAATGAGGCCAACATTTTCTTCTATGGCTTTAGATTCTTGCTTTACAGTAGGCGATGGTAACAGTAGTCTGTTTCCTGTATTAGATTAAGTAGCATTAGGAAATAATCATTCTGCCATTTTTTAGTTATAGCAACCAACCTCAAAAAGCATCTTAAAAAAAACACCCTCCCAACCCACCTCCCCTCACCCCCCCAAACCAAAACACCAAAAAACCCCAGTCTAAGAGTAAATTCAAGTTTACTGGCCTATCCCTCACATTTCTCTCCTCCCTTCTTACCCCAGTTCCTATCCTCCCTGCCCCCCAAAGGAGCATGTTCTTCCATGACATTCTTCAAGGCCTCCTTCCTGCAATTCCTGCCAGGTTGCATAGAGCCTTGGGTGATATGGTTTAGTGGGAGATATCCCTGCCCATGGCAGGGGGGTTGGAACTAGTAGATGATGTTAAGGTCCTTTCCAACCCTAACTATTCTATGGTGAATGTCTCCAGGAATCACGCTCTGTTCTGCCACCTACAGCACTGATCCTTCCGATTGCAAAACTGGTGTGAATGCACCAGTACTTCATGTTAACCTCTGTCCTCCTTCCTGTTCCAAGTATTTTTATCCTACAGATATGCTGGAAGCCAGAAATACTTTAATTTATGAACTGCCCAAGATCTGCTTTTACAGACTGGCAGGTTCCCTGAAGATCTGAATTAATTTCTTCAAGGAAGCAAGTATCTCAGCACTCTCATCATCATTCGCATAGAAACAATTATCTGGAATTTTGTGGCATAAGAAAATATAATACCACCTAACATATCTTCTTGTAGCTCTTCAGACTCTTCTTGGTTTTCTTCATCTTTAGAAGTGTCTGTTAGTCTTCTATAAAAGCAAGATTCTCTAAGCACTACTTTACTAAGTAGCTTCTTGACCTACAACAGAGCCACAGAAAGAAATATGGTGTTACTTAACACATGCATTGTATACCCTAAAAAAGAATGTTTTAACTTGGAAAATTTAAAGAAACTATAAAGCTTTTTAAACTTTAACATACTGGGACTTAAAATGAAAAAAGCTAATACGCGGGGGTGGGGGGTGGGGGCTGGAGGAAAAGGATTAAATTTTGACACAAAAGGTCCATATACGATATGGGCATATGAAGAGCTGCAAACTGCACCTTCTCATTCCAGGATAATTTACAAAAAGATTAAACTAGTATTTTATTGTAAATATGATGTGGCTACATAAAAATCAGGGATGAAATATTTAAGCAACAGCTTTTAGAAGCTGAACTATATTCCTCCCACTTACAGCACTCTTGTAATGTTTTCACAGATATTTCTTTTACTATACAAAACCTGAGCACGTGACAGGTGTAATCCAAGAGTGTACAGTATCTCCTCCATGTCCTTCTCCAGAAGATATCCACAATGACTTTGATCAAAATAAACAAAAGCCATCAGAAGATCTCTATTAACAGTTACCATCTGTGTCTTGTCCTTCTCCTACAGAAAATTCATTATGGGATCACTGGCAAGTTAAAATATCATTAAAACCAAAACTTATCAGTTAACAAAAGCTTTCCTCTGTTAATTTTATTACTATGCTCAGTTGCATGATTAATATAACCAGCATTTACCTGCTGAGCTCAAATATAAAAGTCAACTAGCTATTTAATCTTTCAAATATTGTAAGAATTACAGCACAGTTGATCATAACATCTGCTAGACACAGTTTCCTTTTGTTCATGCTAGTATGCCAAAAAAATGAACAATTAACCTAACAATAGTAAACATCCCTTCTCTCAATCCTGTATTTTACTGAACAGCTGTTTTCAAAGTGAAATCCCCATAAGCAAGTAATGAATGAGCATCTAGCTCCCACAGCTACAGCAGTTCTGCAACTGTTTTCCCATTATTCCTATATCTTTTTTTTCCTTGAAGAAAAATAACAAAGAGAATCAGAACCTTGTTTTATCCTTGCATTTATAAATAAAGTTTAAGTGTAACAAAACAAGCTTATGCTGTTCCTTAATCTTAACTATGGAAGCAAGGTATTCGCCTCATGACACAAAAAGCATCAATTTTCTTGCAGGGAGATGCAGAAACATCACAACTGAAAAGCCAGTTTATCTATCAAGCTAAGCTTCTCCTTTATTATGTAAGGATACAGCAGTTAAAAAAAAATAGATAAATTTGCATCTGCTGTCTCTAACATGCACACATACAGCATCAGTCCTCTTGTCTTTCAGACAGAGCACTATGTACACTCAGTGTTTCAGTCCAAAATGCTGAAGGAATCAAGGAGTGCAAATAGGTCTTATAATAAAAGTAGTTAATATCTAATTAGGACACCTTTAATAAGGCTATATGTAGCTGTTAAGAAAGGTGTTAATTACTTTATCTTTAGATGATCTCTCTTTGCAATGCCTATTGCCCTCTCTTCTGTCCTCTCGTTTGTTCATGTCCTCCTCATCCCGATCTGTAAAACAGAAAAACAATTCAACATACCCACAGAAAACAACTTTATAACCATTATCCCAAAGTACATACACTATATCATACACATAAATCATACATATATAAATCATACATATCATACACATAAATCCCCAAATATATGAAATCAATGTATTTCACTGAAAAATAATAATAATTAAAAAACTCAAATGGCCTTTAAGTGAGTCCTGTTAAATTTTGACTTTTTTCTCTGGTCTTAATCTAACATAAGCCATTTGTCTTTCTTTTTCTGCCCCTTTGGAATAGCTGAAACAAACGCTAACTAGGCCAAAATGAGTTCTGCCAACACCACCATCTATGCAGACATGTGCAGAGAATGACCACAATTCTCCCTAACGAGGCTTGAGAGAGTCTACATCTAACTATGGTTACTCTTACTAGGAAAAAATCAGTACTGTTTACTCTCAAATATTTTTATACCATAAATACTGTACCAACTATGTAATTAAAAGCATGTTTATATGTATATCAGAGTGTGATATTACTGATCCTGTGATCAGTAGATTCTCCAAGAAATTACAGATCACGCTGCTTACTAGATATGAATTACAAACTGCAGGGTTTTTGTTTAGAGGTAGACACTAAAGTAAAACTAAATCTAAAATCAGGAGAGAAAGGGAATATGACAACTTCAGGGACAGATTATGGCATGCAGCTCTGTACCTTATGTGCAAGTCTTTAGTCAGAGAATCACATGCCAAGTTCAGCTTTAAACTCACCTTTCTTGTGAGGAAAATTTTGGATAAAACTATGTGTCACAACATTTGTCTAATTTTGCCAACATGTTTCTGAGAATCAATAGCTTTCTCCTGCACCTTGTGGATTGTTCTCAGCAACTCTGACTGGGAACAGCACAGTGACAGATTATGGGAAGTACCAGCACTTGTACAGAACAGACAGGCCCATGGCACTCTCATGGCCAGATTTTAAGAAAGTGTTGTGTTGGAAATCACAGATTGGCACCATTTTTTTTCAGATTGGTGCAGTACTCTGCCAAAAACACAACTAAAAATATAGGTTAGAAAATGCTGGGACTGCAGTATCTAAGCAGTTCAATCCCACACCTCTAGCAAAAACTCCACAGAAGGACAAAAACCCTGAAAAAGTGCAAGCTGAAAAGCATACGTCATATCTTATGCCTTTCTGAACCTCTGAGCAGGGAAAGAGGGCTGCTCCCTGGAGACAGGAAGGTTCCCCAGTCCCTTTCTGCATTCCTTCAGGTAAACACAGCTCCACCCAAACAGAAATCAACTCCTTATAGCATCATGTACAGGGCACCCCACACTTATTCTAGCTTAATAAAAACAGGATGACATTTCAGAACTGAGGAATGGGAAGTTAGGCATGTCAGAGTGGCTTGGTTTTTCAGAGGTGCTGAATACTCACATCTCCTACTGACTTCAATGGGAGTTGCGAGTGGTCTGCATTCTGAAAAAAATAAAACCACTTCTATATACATGCCTTACTTTGAGTACCATGGCTTCTTTACATTAACTATGTTCATACACTGCCAGAAGTATTAAAATTAGTCTAATAATGCAATTTTAAGTTGTCTAGTTCCAGTACATTCTCCAGCTTGAGAGAACATATTCAATGACAATAAAGAAGTAATTCTGAAAGCCACAAAATCTGTAATTCAAGATACCTTCATCGTCATCTTCAGCATCTTCTGCCTCCATCGGATCATATTCTTCTTGATTATTGTCCTCTTCAGTTTCTTCTTCATCCTTAGAATCATCCTTCCTTTTATCTTCCCTCTGTAATAGAAGTTCCTAAAAATTTATTTAGTCAGAACTAAATAACTAGGAAAGTAAAAAAAACCTCACTACCATTCACTCAAAACTTACATAAGTTTAGATTCAGTCGCTTAAAAATCTGCATGATATAGCTGAATGTCAAAATACCATTACACCTGTAGACTTGTTAAATTGCTGAATATTATTGAAGCATATTTTAAATAGATCAAGAAGTCAAACCAATTAACTAACACTACAAAACTTGAGTTTTGAAAGCAATAAAGTAAAATTCAAATAGAAGTAGTTTAATATTGATCCAGACAGGACAGAAGATAAATGAACTATCTGCAAACCTTCTTTTCGTCTCTATCTTCTTTTTTATCATCTCCAGATTTTCTCCTCTTAGGTTTTGGATCATCTGTTTCATCATCCTTTTCTTCTTTTTTTTCTTTTCTCTCATCCTTTTTGCCTTTTTTGTCTTTTTTGTCTTCCCTCTCTGGGAGAGAAATCAGTGCTTTGTAAATTCTGACACCAAAATCTCTCTGAAGCATTTCATTGAAGAGTTCAGCAAACAACGACACCTGCACAAAAGAAGAATGAAAAGAGAACTGACAAAAAGTTTAAAAGCATGTATTAAAAATGTATACACCTATGACTAAATAGCTCTGAGGTGCTATCTTACCAACTTTCACCACATCAGGATTTTATGTAGTATCATCTGGTTTGAATATGGAAACCTTGAACAGCTTTATAAACACGCTTCTTTCCTGTACTCCAGTAGTGTAGGACTTAGACCAGTCATATAAATTATAAACTCACTTCCACATCTGAAAACCTGCACATTTTTGGGGGATATTATATAGTGACTATACAGCTATCGTAAACCATGTACAAAAGACTGTTTTTTTTTCCAGGTATTGCATAAAAATTAACTTATCCAAGTTTAATTTGCTATGTTAACATACACTTTTACAGTTTCAGAATACGGCAGTGGTAACAGAATTTAAAAGAAAAACGAATGGCTAAGTGCAAGTAGCACAGCTAAATTACCTCAAAGGAATGTTCTTTATTATCTTCTAATCTATAGTCCAGAAGAACACTAAGAGACATAATGCTACAGTCAAACTTTCCACTCTTTGCTGCCCAGTTAGGATGTACAATGATTGCTGGTTCATCAGGTAAGATATATCGTCTCTCACGCCGCTGACGTTCCATTTCTTCTTGACGTTTTCTTTCCTCTTCCTGAAAAGAGGCAAAAAACCCCAACCATACAGCATACTCCAAACATAAAGTTTCAGTCTAGACTAGTTTTTAAGACTCACTGCTTTGAAGAAAGTGAACGAAAGCCTAACCTGCTGTATGCAACACAGAATACAGAAGTCACACACTAGAATTTCTGGAATGCATTCTGCATCCACTGCCAACATTCACCTGTAACAACTGCAAACTTGAGCAACGTAAAGCAAGACATGCAGCGTTATTTAGCCCACAGAGCAATGAGCACCTTGTAAGTATCTTATGGTGTTAACTGCAGCATATTCATTCATTCATTATGAGTACGGATAAAAGGCATGGCAGAGCTTGTGCTTTTTAAAGAAACAAGCAAAATCTTGAAAGCTCTGTCCCTAATGTTAACGAAAGCCACGGCAAGAAACCTGAGAACAGTTGAAGTGCACCCAAGCTGTGTGAGATGGCAGCAGCTGACAGAATTAGCAAGCACATGGCCTTTGCTCCCTTCAACAAGGCTTACACAGATATATAAAATTTCAAATCATCCCATACTGGCTAGCAGGTAATACACAAAAAAGCAGGTTTAAAAGCAACTGACCCACAATACATTCTCAGGACATTTATGTCTCTTTTCTGTGACTGACCTTTGGCCTTACTGCACAGATCTTGTTTATTCTCACAAAACAGCAAAATAGACTAAGTAGTACTGAAACTACCAACTGCAAAACTGAGAAACTTCAACACATAGGAATGTCATCCAAAAGCAAAGACTGAAATTTCACAATAAGGAAAAACAAACCTAACCAAACCGTTAGCCATGTGAAAAAACTGGACTCCCTGAGACACTGTAACTTCCACAGGAGGCACCTACTCCCTCCTATTTCCACAATAATTCTCTAAGGCTTTGTACAACTAAGTAGTTGATTTTCATGTAGGTTTAAAAGGTTAAGTGTATTCACCCGTTCTCAGGAAGTTTTTCTCATGAGTTTGGAATTTATTTTTCCTTACATTGAAGGCCTGACATTAATTCAGACACCCTTAGCGCAGCTGCAGATTGCAGCTGACTTTGCTGATATAAAGAAATACAAACTTGCCAAGATTTTGTTCCAATTCAGCATCTCAAGTTACAGCAAGGATTACTGTGTTACAGCACAGTCATCCAGGAACTACAAAATCCTAACGCAACTGGGCATAGTCTTGTGCTTTTTATACCAATTATTTATGCAAATGTCATACATAATGGTTTATGTATATTTAATAAGGCTTAAACCAAGTATGTCGAAAACCTAACCTCTCTGTCATCTTCAGATTTCCTATCTTCCTCCTCTTCCTCTTCTTTCTCAGACTTCTCTAGCTCCTTTTGCTCTTCTTTTTGTTCCTCTACTTTCAGCTGCTTTGTCAGTCGAGCTATCAACTGCGACTTCAGCCCTTTAGAGCTAAGGGTTCGACTTTCTAATTCTTTGCGAAGGTCATTTACCTAGTAAACAAAAGCTTTGTAAGTGGTATCACCCAGTGACATTGCAAAACGTTTGATTAGCAGAAAAGGTGAAGTAAAAACTAAGAACACTGAACAGTCAACTGTATTTTTTAAATCTGTACTGCAAACCACTAATATTTACAGATACATAAACCATTCTACATTTAAAGTTGCATTCTCAAAGAACCCCTTTTTGAAGAACTTCTCACAGGGGCAGGGAAGCCATTTTACTACAGCAAAATAGTTTATTATTATTCCCTTCAAGGAGACTTTTAATTATGTCTCCTGCCACACACTGTTGTATAATTACTGCCTTTTCAAACTAACATTGAAATATTTTAAAGTATCATAAAGATTACTGCAGAACTTTAATTTTCCAGTTAATATATTGTATGTGATACCCTTTAATTGTATGTAGATCAAAAGTTCAGCATAGTTTCATTTAGCTGTATTTACTTATGATAATCAGGAGTCACACTTGCATACTGTGATATCACATCCAATACCTACAAAAATCAGCAAGGTAAAACACTTGTTTTAAAACAGTTGTTGTAAAACAGAAGGTTTTTGCTCAATTAAGGGAATATATAGCTATATTTCAGGTTGTGCCTTAAAAATGAAAATGGAAGAAATGGAAAAAATTTAAGAGTTAGTTACCTTCATTGTTTTTGGATCCAATTTAGACCAGTGTGTAGGTGTAGAGATCTCTTTAGCTTCCCCATCATCCTTTTCCTCTTCATCCTGACAAATAAAATTTAGAAATTATCATTCAGAAAGTTTGAAAACACTTCAGTTATTTTTTTAATTCTGCTGCTGATCTGTGCAAGGTCACAACTGTTTCAGATAGTCTTCTCCTAAAGTTATTATTTAGACAAGTTCACACACACATTCTACCACTTTATAAATGATCACAGTGCCACTCAGCCAATACAAGCCAGATCTGCGGAACGCAAAAGGGTGATAAGCAACACCACAAAGAATATTGGGGTTACACAGACACTGCTGGTCTCCATTAACCACACAGTGTGTGATCTTCCCCCAGATTTTAAATCTCCCAAATTACTCCTTGTTCAGTCAGACCTTCCCTTATTCCAAGATGCTGATCAGCCACATGGCCTGAAATTCAGATGATTCAGACTAGTGTTTGTTCAATTCCAAGTATCACAATTAGAACTGGCCAGAGGAGAGAATTTAGAAATTTTAGAAAATGGCAAAATGTTTAAAGACAGCTATTCGTAAACTGCATCTCACTCAACAACTGCTCCCAGATTCCAGCAACTACATCTATGATAAAAATTTTTCTGCGCATCATAAGCACAATTCAATTCCATTTGTGGTATCAGCATACACATTTAAAATTAGTGAACTAGCTGAAACAAAAATAAAAACCAACATCCACTACACTGCTGAAAGCTGGTTTACCAGTCATTGTTACCAGTTATGTTCCTCCTATGTATGTATGTTGTGTAGCATGTGGTGTGCATTTTGTGCCTGTGTTCCTGTGCCTGTGAGAAGCAGAAATAGAAAAAGGGATTAGCGTTCAGTGCCTGTTCTCCATCAGCCTCCTTGCGTTCACCCTGAAGCTTCTCGACCAGCTGCTGCTTGTATCCTCGGGAGAGGGTTTCCCACTCTGAGCGGGTGGGAAGGCAATGCCAAACATCCGGGAAAAATAAAACCACTGTCTCCACATGAGCTGGAACTGTACGCCCCTTGTGGGTCTCCTCAGGGCGATGGTAGCGAATCTCTGCAAAACGGTACCTGTTGCAAGGGAAGAAGCATGTTGGAAAAAAAATTCTACAATACATTTTAAAAGAGCCTAGATCACTTGTAGCACATCAAGTAAAGAAACTTTGCTGCAAGACCTTGAAGTTTATCTAAAGAAAAAAATTATGGAAGCCATATTTTCTCTTTTGGCACACTTGTGCAATATATCGCACTTGAAAAGGAGGAAAACCCACAAAATTCTTTTTACGTAACTTGTTGTTTAGCACACAGGTTTGATGCGCAAATAGAAGTGTTGAAGTGCTTGAAATTTAGCCCACAGTAGACTTTCCTGGTATTAGTAAAACTTCAGTGAGTGTTAACATAGGATAAAATCTCAGCAAGAGAAAATATGGCTATATAACGAACGGCTATTCATTTGTAACAAAAGAACAATGAAATGAAGTTCTCTTGACGATCTTCTCCAGCTATGCACAAAATGAAAAATATTTTCAATGCACATTCATTAAGAAATTACAGCATAATACATCAAAATAAACCCAGTTTTTAATTAGTTCTTAATGCAGTATTCAGCACAGTTGGCACCAATCAAACTTATTACAAATCAGAACATCCTTTGAATAGATTACCTGCACTACCAAGAGCAGCCAACAAAAAAAGGGTTTTTCCATTTCTTTCTGGTTTTTTTTTAAACTCGGGGTAACAGACAAGTACTCCTATGGTGGACTTTGCTTTGCAGTACAGTACTTACCATTGTGTGCACACACTTAAGTCAATTCCTGTAAGAGCCTTGCAACAACGAATAGCCGTCTTTATCAGCACGGAAGGGTCCTTTTCTGGATCAGGTCCATCCAGTGATGGGGACCAGTGTCCTCCAATTGCCATAGCTTCATCTTTGCCTTTCATACCCACTAAAAACTAGACAAAAAGAGTCTTCTGAATGTTACCCTGCTATGGATGGAGTCTCATTTTCCCAAAGCTCAAATAATACTTTATAGAACACACTGAAATACATGAGTAAGCTACCATATTATTTTGAAATCTCAAAGTCAGTCAAGAAAGAGTTCAGTTATTTTTTTCCACAGATCATTTCAGAAATGGAATAGGTTTAAAACATCATCACTCATTCTTGCTTGCAAGACTTCCCATCAAGTTTCTTTACTGGGACAAGGCTTGTTCCTTTACAATTAAAGCTTTCTAACACAAAAGACTAACAGCTACTCATTTAAATGGTGCCTTAATTCCAATACACATCTATAGATGCTCCTGCTTAGAAGTAATACAGCAAAGCTACAAAAAATAAGAACATTATAAATTCGATTACTCCCATTTACTTTAAGACAATAGTGTTTAATTGGAAAACAAGTCTGTGACATCCTGAAACACCGTAGCACTTATTGTTCAGTTTTTAGCAATAGTTAAATTTCACTTCATACACTGGTTATTTAACTGTTGCTTCATCTGTATTCTCTTCACAGCTGAGCCCTTAAACAAATAGTCTAAGGGCTTGTAAAAAGACTAACAAAGTTAGTAACATAATACAGGTTTCTCCAAGTAGCTATTGTTTTGAGTTCAAGTTGAGCATTCAGTAAATACTAAAGCAGTGAAGATGGAGCTCCTATGAACTGGAAACAGGATTCACATATAAACTAGGTCTCCTTAGAAGGAAAACGAAGCCATCATTTAGCTGCCTACAAACTCCTCCCTTATCGCCTAGTATCTTAAAGCTCTATAACCAACCTTTATTGCCGAAAGTGTCTGGCATTGAAGCATATTTACCTTTACAAGTCTAGCGGGATGCTGAAATCCATCACGAAGTTCTTGAGGATCTTCAGCCAGAGCACATGACTTGTGATAGAGATCTTCCATACTAGGACTAGCCATCAACATCACCTGTTGTGTAAGTCAGATCAGTCTTGTGAAGGTTTCCCACTATGACTGGTAAACAATGACCACAACTTGCAAACGCATACATATCAGTACTTTTTCCTTAATGTCACAAAAAATCGAAACAAATAAAGGTAAAATAAACTGTCAAACTGAGGATTAAAATGTCTGCCAAGGACCAATTTCTCTCCATCACATATGGATGCAATGTGTGAGTTTATTTAAAACCAAACCAAACTGAAAACAGATAAAAGCAAATGCTTTGCACGTTATCAGTATACGCCAAATAGCACACTGAGTACCTTTCTGGTTTCAGTAATTTACTCCATTTGTCACAGTCACAGGCAACTGACTAACACACTGATTTGCATCCTCACAGCATCCCATTAGCCCAGCCAATTCTACCAAGGTTGCTGTATATTCTAAAGAGGTTAGTATCATGAAATGGGATGCTATTCCTCAGTTACTAAATATATTTTGAAGTTTGACCTTCTGAAAGAGAGCTCTTGCTCTGCATCAACAGACTAAAAAAACTGTATGCCTGATACTTGCCCCAAGGCTTCAAAACTTACATACACAGAACGTACGAAAAGTGAAGTCTTTCAGAAATACAAGGGTTAAACGCAGTTTTGTTTCTAAACCTGTCTTTATAATGAAATACACTTCTAAAACAGATTGACCTCAAAAATCTCAGACCTATTTTAGTAAAAGAGTTTTAGGAAGATGTTTTGACACTGAGGTCTTTTATACATCATTACAGCCCTTGATGGAACATTTTTTGACATTCAGATAATCCCAAAATGCTCAATCTACTTTCCACAAAATAATACTGAGAGGAATCTGAAAGAAAGAAAAAAAAAATCACTAAACAGAAGAGCACAAACTGCACAAAAGGGACCCTTGACGAAATGAAAAAGGGGCTCCACTAACTGTTCAGAATGAATCACCTAAAAATAACATTCAGACATACTGGGGGAGCTGGCTTTCTTTCCTGTAGTCAGATTGGTGCAAATGGGTGCAGAAAATGGTAGAGGCCTCAGTAAAAATATTTAGGACAGCTTTAGTAACAAAAGTACAAACTGAATTTCAGTCATGATTTTGCAAGCACTACATAATAGCTCTTTATTGAAAGGCTTAAAAACACTGTATTTTGTTTAAATTATAGAATATTTTCAGTTCAGTTAAATTTACTTTTTCACCTTATTGGTGAAAAAGCTTCTAATGAATAGCCACAGTACTGGAAATCCATACAAACCTTTGCACTGTACAGATGATCAGCATCAGGTGGATCAAGGACAGCACCGTTTTTATCTATAGGATCTACTTCTCTATGCATTACATAGAAATTACAGTAGTTTCCCAGCTGAAATGGTCTAGACATAGGAAAAGCATCCACCCATGTAAACTGAGCATCAAAGAAATCACTTGGGATATACAAGTTCTGGTAACGCCTCCTCAGCTCCATCATATCGCAGCTACGGCTGAAATAAACAATATTATTTGAAAGATACAGCAATAAAAAACAGTAATAAAGGCACATAATTAAGAGGTATATTAACTGGAAATGCAGCCATTGTGTATTTATTACTGTAAGTATATACGTAAAATGTAAAGAGAAATATTATGAGTGTCATGGTTTAAAATCAAGTAACTACTAACTACTTCTGATTAAGGTGCCTGCATATTAGGCAGTATTTATAAAGGTATCCAGTAGCACCAAAAAATAACAAAGAACCTATAAAACATTTATCATAGAAGGTTCTTAGCCATTACATATTTGATATTTCTCTAAGGTTAAGATATCATTTAACACTCACTACACACACACACACACACGTTTATACAGCTCACAGTAATCTGTGCCCACAATTAAAGTAAGAGGTAGGCAAACATCTGGCACTATAAACATACCAGTCCAGTGAAAACTTTGAAAATTGAACCGTGTAACGAGGAACAACACGTCGTGGTCTTCGAGGTGACCTCTCCCTTTCTCGTCTAGGTGACCTCTCTCTGGAGCGTTTTCTCTGGGGTGACCTTTCCCGGGACCTACGTCTCTCTCGTTCTCTTTCGCGACTTAAAAAACGCATACAAGATACAAATATTTTTCCATGCTGATAACACAAAATGGTTTCCAGAAGCTAAAAAACTGACAAGGAGAGAAGTTCCTCACAGTTTCAGAACACTGTCTCTTTACAAGAGACCATTCATGCAATTCCTTCATTTCAGAAAGGCAAGAACTCTTCACTAGTATCTATCATAAAGCCATTTGTGCGTATCACTGACTCACACTGGAACAAGCCCAGCTCTGTTTGCAGACAGGTCTTTACAGAATGCTTTGATTATAGTCTAGTCTTCGACAGCATACCTCCTGTCATCTTTTCGGTTTGGCATAGGGTCTCCTCCTCTGTCATTCCTCCCGGAAAATCTGGATGGTGGGTCTAATCTTCGAGCTGGTTGAGGCTGTGAAACTAGACGAACAGGTGGCTGTAACAAACCACCTGAAACAAAAAAAATGAAGATCAATACCCAATAGGGGGCAACTATCCACACTTTACAAACATCGCTGCTTTACAGTTGCTTCACTTGTGTAGATTTTCTAAACTAACCCTGGAGTCAAATAAATCTACTTATAATGCCCACCCCAAGAAACTCAAGAGACCTATGGTTTTCTTCATCAATTCAAGCTGAGACACTAGTGAGTGAAACTGGTTTAAAAGCATCTTCTTAAGATGGAAGCTAATATAACATAACTAACATAGCTAATATAACACAGAAGCTATCAGTAAATAGCTAAGCCTCTCCATGGAAAAGTAATATGCTTTAAATTAGATAACTACCCACTCATTGAACTGAACAAAAAGCTTGTTTTTGAGGCTACTGATAGGTAAAACCAGTTAGCTTCCTGAAACATTATTCTTAGATCTATTTATTACACTGCTGCATCAATCCCCTAGCATTGTTGCTTAACAGAGCAAACATTACTAAACACCAACTAGGACTAATTAGGTTGTAATAAGCATTTATCCAAAACAGTTCTGCTCTGGTGATAGCTTAAGATTGTCTCCCTTTGCTTCTATTACAGGCAAGACAAATCTTCATTTTATCTTATTATCAACCCTATTACTAATTCTTCACGCAATGTTCAAGTGACCCCACAACCTTTCTTGTAGGTTTGCCATGTTTGGCAGTATTCCTTCTCTCAAACACCAACTTAGCTAATAGAACACAGATATATAAGTAACAGTTCTAACAATACAACTGTGTGAAATATAAATTTAGTATATTCTAATATAAAAATTACTACATTGATTTTGCTTTTGGATTATGAACAGGAGTCCATGGGGATTTCACTACCAGGTGACTCTTGAGCTATTGCAGGCAATGTGCCTCACATATAGCTGCAGGAAAACACATATCCAAACCGATAATTCTATAGGGTCCTTTACATATTATTTAAACTATTACTTCAGTTTTCTGACTAACAAAAAAAAGTAATCGTCACACACTACGCAGCAGAAGGACCGCACAAACTTTGCGCACTGAAGGGGCACCTTTCTGTTGTGGCTGCTGCAGTAATGGCTGAGGCTGTGTCTGAAGCAAAGGTGTGATTGAAGCTGCTGATATTTGTGCCTGCAACAAGGACTGTGGCTGTGGCTGTGCCTGAACACTGAATGCAGTCTGCTGTGCAATGGGCTGAAGAACTGCTGGAGGAGTCTTCAGTAACGGTTGAGCTTGTGTCTGGTTCTAACAGCAGAAGAGAAAATTAATCGTGAGTGAGCTTAAACTAGAAGCAGTCAGTACAAGCTAGCCTGAGTAACCCCATATACCTGATTTGGAAGTGTCTGGATCCTTTGTGCATTCCATTTGAACGGCATATTAGGATTGTAAGTAGCCTCTACCAAAACTCTGTCACCCACCTGAGGTGTTTTTCCTTTAACAGCACTGCAAACATAACAAAATGTATTGTCTTAGTCTTATCGAGTTACTTTACATTTCCAAGCTACATGTAGAGATGGGATACAGTATACAAAGTTCATAAATTTTTTTTTTTAAAAAAAGCTTACAGGAAAAGCATCTACCCCCAAATTCAGTGAAAGTGCCACCTGCTTCAGCCCAGAGTATGCACAGGAATTTCATTCCCATCTTAGGTCCAAAAGTTCCCTAACAAGTACTAAGTTAAGACAAGTGGATAGCAAGTTATATGCATTTTAATCACCTACAGATTCTAAAATTTCACATTGTAAGGAGCTTAATACCTTTCAAGTCTCACAGCTATGGGCTTTGCATCGAGAAAATTCAAAAATTCACATAAAGGAACTCAGTCTATTAACTTACTTGACCACCTTACTTCCAGTGTTGACAGAAAACAATGTACTAACTGCAGGCACTATCAGTAGAGTAACAGAATGCAATAACCTAAACCTTTTGAGTGAAGATACCCCAGAGTACTTCTGTAGGCAAGTATTACATCTTACCTAAGTTGAAAAAAGACATCTTCATCCACAAAACCAAATGTATCATGTAGTTTAGTAACAACCCCAGTGAAGACACGCTGCTTTTGTGGCTGGGTTTGCTGTTGGCTTGACCGAGGTGCTGGGTAAGAAACAGTTATCTGGGCTGCTGGTTGAGGAGTAGACAGGCTAAGACTGGTAGGCAGCGCAACAGCTGGCTGTAAGCAAAATAAAGCAAACTATAAATCTTATAACCAGGTGACATACCTACAAGGAACAGTTCCTTTACCCACGTAGGCAGGAGTTTAAAATGTCTCTAAAGCAATTATTCTGAATGGAGATTTTCAGAATGTGAAAGTGTTCTGTCTGTAGATGACTTTTTTCTACTTTGAATGAAGACTGAATTTGTTTATCCTTTTCTTTTAAAAAAGCCAACTTCCTCAAAATATGCACAGTCTAGGGGAAAAAAAAAAAACAAAAATGGTGAAGACTACATTAGTGCTTATAGGTAACCCATGCAATGGGCCTGCACAGGAGCTATGTTCTTAACTGTGCCAGGAATACATGCTTAGAGATTATTCTCCATTTCTATTCCAGCTTTAATGTTAGAAATTAGTGAAGGTTGAGGCTAACACAAACCCTTCCCTAACTCAGTAATTCCAATGCTTGCCTTCTTATAAAAGCAGAACACAGTAAAACAGTGTAGGGTTGGTTTTGTTTGGGTTTTTTTAAAGCATGTTTAAAAGGTTACCTGAAAATGAAACTAGAGCAACCTAGTGTGTTAAATTGTTGCAAGTTTTAAACCTGTCAAGCTCAGCAAGACTCTTTTTTATATCTCTCTATACACCTACTGCAATACTGTTAAAACAGAAGGTTAACATTCTTTCTCAAAGGAAAGATTTTCTTCCCAAGTGGTTACTCACTGCAAGCCAGCCAAACACTTTAAGATTGAACCAGAAAAAAAAAACAAACCCCCAAAACAAAAACAAAATAAATAAATAAATCAACAGACATATTCCCTTCAAGATTAAGGAACAGTGGTTGCTACTAATTTTTGGAACCAAGGCAATGCATATTTTAACATCCGGATAAAATGAAACTGTACCAATTAAATGTCCATTCACATGACTTCATTTTACAGATTAAACTACCCAAGACTTCACGAATTTGCACTACTGAATTATCTGTGTTTGGGGATGAAGACCAAACAATAAAACCAAACTAACCTGAGTTAAAAGGGTCTGCTGAGGTTGCTGCAACTTAAAATAAATAAAGTTATAAATTAATTTTATTTGTTTAAGGAAAGTGTACAATTTTACCTCCTCTTTACAAGTAAGAGTTTTTGCTTAATCTGTGCCAGTTAATAGTCCTTTGCTGTTTGGTCATTTCAACAGTTTGCATACGCATAAAACTGTGCTCATGTGGTTAATTTTAAGGTTGTATAATCTAGGTTTATTCAGTAAGCAGAAATACTGGGGTTTCTGTAACTGAAAGTTAATAACACCACCAAAAAAAGTTCTGGCAGCTGGAGAAGGTTAGGTCTGTAATTTCCATGTGCTTTCTTTTTCAAAACCTTGTGAAGTTCAAAGACCATAAAAAACCAAACCAACCAACAAAAAAAACGAAATGACAAAACAAAACCCACCCCCAAAACCCCACAACAACAATCCAACCAAGCAAAAACGTAAAAAGGAACTTTTTGTGGACAGTGTCTTTCCAGCAATTAAAACACATGGCCCTGTTTAGAGCAAAGTTTAGCAGGAATCATGTAACATGGAATAGTATGTCTTTTTAAATTTCCTTTTTAGATGAAGGTACACAGGCTTCCATTCTGGATACGTTTCTCCACGTTTATGAATTTCAAGCTCTCTTTCACTACAAAAAAAGTACTACTTAAGTTTAACAACTTCCCATACAAGGATGATTTCGGAGACAAATCCTACAAGACACGCAATGAATGTTATTTTTAAAGTTATTTGTGAGGTACACAGTAAGAATCACACAAACCTGTTGCTGTACACTATAGAGAGTCTGCTGAGGTTGTGAATATTGCTGAAACAGATAAAAACAAAGTATCTCATGAACAGGAAGTATTACTAACCCAATAACACCAAATACAAGTTACCTCCTAAGCTAGTTTTAGATAGAAACTAGTAGCATTCAACAATTCTAATACAAAACATAACTAATAGTATCAACATATTACTTTCATAACAAATATTTTGTCATGAAAGCCTTTACAGTGGATTCTGATGTATTCTTTCTAGCTAAAATCACTAACTTTTTTTTAAGCCTGACACTTAGGACAGTATCTAGGGCACAGCACAAAATCCTGTAATATGCTATGAAGAATACATATAGTGATGGAAGATAGTTGAAACTCTAGGTTCTTGGTTCAGGTGCAGCAAAATTCCTTTTCCCAAAAGGATTTCCATAGCCAAAAGTCAGCACCTCCACAGCCAGAATTCCCACCTTCACAGACTAATACAACCCATGATAGCTGTAGACCTAAAATCCCACTGTTTTTTAAACAGCTTTATACTGTGATGTTCACCATTTCCCATACTGCTTTTCTCCTGGATACTTTAGCTTTACAAAGCCACAGTATTAAATTAAGTCCATGTATTCAACAGCAAATGCTTTTTCTTTACCTGCTGTAATGCAGCCGCTGCAGCTGCAGCTTGCTGCTGTAAAGCAGCTGTCTGAGTTAGCTGATAGTTTGTTGGTGTTTGTGTAGTCAGGCCTGCTGCTGCCAATGCTGTCTGCTGGGTGTATATTGTAGGAGAGGCTCCAAGCAGCGATGGCTGCTGTACACCAAGAGCAGCTGAAAAGAGAACACATTCAATAAGCACTAAGAGCAACTTTAAATAGCTGAAGTTTCTGATAGTTAGAAGAGCTGCAGTATGTGATGCTTCACTCCAGAGTCAAGCCATAAAGCACAGAAATCCAAACCCAAAATTCAAGGTAAAGTTTCACACCTCACTAGCTTTTCTTCTACATTAATTTACAAACTCTACACCACAACAGAGGCACAGAGACCACTTAATTTCCTTCTCTCAAGTTGCTCATGAGTTCATAGCTCTATGAGCTGTCATCCCCATCTACACCCACCCTCAACACATACACACACTGTACTCTTTCTTTAATGTATTTCAGGATTTGGATGAGGCAGAGTAAGATTTTTTTACTCTATTCCGTAAATTAATACATTTCATTCTATCTGAGGGCAAGAGAAATCTTTACTGTAATAGCAGCTATGAATCAGATGCTTGTGGAACATGTCCTCTAAAAATGCACAAGGCTTTGCTTCACTCAGTACTGTCCTTGTACCTGTGAGAGCTGGATTTTATAGACAGGGGGCTGGTAGTGAAAGGACAGCCTTATAACAACAGGGAGTTTAACCGGTCCCCATATATATAGGGAGCAAGTCAAGCTCTCCACAGCTTTTACAGGAAAGGGTTTGTGCTGTCCTGACTCAAACTGCCAGGAAGGACAGATTAGTTTATTTAATGTCGTATCAGATTTTAATTAACTGCAGATTTTAATTAACTGCAAATTACAAGGAGCAGCTATCCATATGCTACGCTTCGTATGCATGTGATACTTCTGAACAAGATACGCTTAAGCTTTATGGACAGAACTTTTCAGGACAAAGAGCCCTGCACAATGCAAATCTGAGTGAAGAACTGCAAATATATCTGGAAAACCTGCTCCCTCTTTGGCAGGAGTTTTAGAAAAAGTTATCTGCAGCTGCATGAGCAAATATCACTTCATCAAGCTAACAGTCCAGTCCACATGTTTAAATAAAGCCAAAGAGAAACTCAGCAGGGAAACACTGCCAGCAAAACCAGGTCAGCCAGCCACCTTCACAACTAAAGAACATTTGCGTTGAACAAGGTTCCTTTCTCTTCCAAAGCCATTAGAGGCATAACGAAATGAAGAATAGATTTACAGTATTTTTCCCTCCAGAGTTTATGCTTCACACTATTCTTAATGATCTAAAATGAAACTGTCATTCCTGACCCAAGGATATAGTAAGAGACTGCTTGTAGTTCATGAACATCAACACAGAATACACAAAAATGCTGTATCCAACTCAAAAGATCCTGGATAAGGTAATATTCTCTACTACACTGCTCTTAGCAGCAGAATACAATCTTCAGGAAACAAGTTGATGGCACTGATCATCTTACAGTTTTGGAACGAAACATGGAAGCAATATATGAAGAACAGCAAAAATAATCACCATCACTGTGATCCATATTAATAAATACATAAATTAGTATTACTTCCTGGAATACTAACAAGTGAAACCAACATTCGATAGTACAGTATTTCCAGTATTATCTGAATTCTCCACCTGGAAAATTCCAACATTTGGGTTTCTTCAGAAGCCAAATCTGAGGCTTCTTCCATGACACACCCTCCACATGCCTGATACTCTTCCCTCCTACTTGTTCATCAGCTCCACTTTGAATGTGCATTTTTGACCATCCAGAAACACACTCTCATCTGGAACCTCACCAGTGCCTCCTTAAACAGACCTTGAAGTCTAATAAAAAGACTTTACTGCTGCATCCTGGGACAACTTCCACTTTTCTTGGATAAACTAATTTGCTGCACTGGTTATTTACCTTGAATCTTTCTCCTCTTATTTCCACATACTGAGCAGAAATTCCTATCAGCACAGCAATGCACTTCATGCTGTTATCTCTGAATCTGTTTGACTACACTAGCTATTGCCATTCAGTCTGATGCTCTATTCTAATGTTGCTCCAACACAGGTGGATGGAGTTGGGAAGCGTCATCAAGCAAATTTCACAAGCTCTCTCCTACTTCTTGTACCAAGGACATCCACAAACAAAAAAAGACTTGCTCCCAAAACCAGCTCTTGGGGTTACTCTGCTCTTCAGTTTCCACTGTGACAACTTCCCTTCCAGCATAACCCATAATTACCTCAATTCCCAGCCCACTCTAAGACTCTTAACCCATTCTGTCCATTAAGAGAAGGGAAATAAAAACAATTAAATTTGCCACCTCTACTGCCACTTTATGAGCATTTAATACTGACTGGCTATCATATCATCTACGCCATCGCAGATCAACTTACTAACAGAAAGCAAAGAAAAAAGACTGCCAAGATCCCCTCAAAGGGTAACTAACACCTGTAGTAACACATTTTTCAAAGCTGTATCTTCTTTCTACCAATTTGCCCTGAAAGTGTTCTGAGAGTTTAATTTGACTACCTTTCATCTGTGTACTCAATCTCAGGCAAGCAGGCTCTGATTTAATAGGCATCTGTGTTGGCTTTTTTGTCCTTTTTTTTTTTTTTTTTTGGAAAAGGGAAGATCCCACAGAGAAACAAAGCACACAGAATGAATCGCACACCAAGTGTGGAACTGGTATCTGACTGCCAAATTATTATTATTGGCAACAAGCATCTGCAGTAACAAATAATAGCTCCTTAGGATTTGTAATTATCTCAGAAAGCACAGCAATGGAGATGCTTTCCTTCAAACATAATTTGAACAACTTCCACTTGCACCGAATGCTGCATGATATCTGAAAGGGCTTGGATAGAAATGAAAGAGTCCTAAGCTGCAGCTCAATCATCTTCCTAGGTAACAAATTTCTGTTGTAGCAAACACAAAGACGGTATTCAATAGCTCCTCTTGCAGCTTCTAAATTCCAGAGACCTTTAAAGATTATGGAAACGTCTTCAAGTATTTAGCCACATATATCTCCTTGATAAGTGATGTACATTTACTAGGATTACAGTAAAGGAGTACCCTATCCAGAGCTGTGAACATTTCATGGTTGTCAGAAATTATGAGTTTGTGTACTTGGGTTTTTAAGTTTTTTCAAGTTTAACACACAATACAAATGCCATGCAACCTATCCAAAAAGAATTCCTGTTAACAGGCACACAATAGCAACCAGGCTCAGTGTATTTATCACAGGACATCCGTTCAGAGCAAGCCAGCAAACTGTGCATCAGCTACTATTTCTTGATGGCTCTGAAATCTACTACGTGCTTGTCCTATCACTTCTATAGTCACCTTTTCATGGCCACTTCAGTAACAATGTACTGAACTTAGGGTATCTTTGTTTTCATCAGGTGCTGTTTTTCACTCTAATGCAATGAAGTTTTTTTATATAATAAAGATAATGACAATGCAAAGCAGCCAGAATGCAGCACAGCTAGGACTTCCCCTTGACTATGGTTCTGTAAAAACAGGCTTAACTATGCAACCAGAAAACATAACCTTGAAAACAGCATATGCCAAGCACTGCAATACAAACCAAAGACATGTCAAAAAAAAAAAACCACCTGAGAGAATAGGAGGGGGATTCTCCTTTGCAGATGTTTCAGGAACTTGTACATCATTATGGAAGGTAAAAGCATAGAGTACTTGGAAAAAACAATCTTTATAAACTTTTATTTTCTATAGCAGACATGATTTAACTTACGCTTTAATAATGCTTAAACAGAACAGGAGGGACTTTATTCTGGTTTTAGTCATGTGATGCACAAAACCATAAGACAAGGAATAGAGAAACAATTTCCCTGTGTTCCAAGTAGGATTCTCTTTACAGATCTTTGCTAGACCTGGAACTACCCATCTCTCTTCTAATAGACAGGCACAGACAGCAATTAGTAAGCTATCCTAAAGGGATCCCAGGAACCCTTCATTACACAGCATGTCACTCTACAACTACCTTAGTGTCACACCTTAATAATTAAAAGCCTATGTTTTCACCAGGGATAGCCAAGACAGCACCCAAGTCGGCAATATAAATCAACACCACCATCTCCAACTCTGAAATTACCTTTTTGTCACTATCAAGCTGGGTTTATAACACCATCACTCACCACTTTTGACAACAGCTTAGCAAAAAAGCTATATATCATTTTGCTTCTGTTACCTCTCCCCCATACCCAAGCACCTTGACACTTTGGAGAAGGAACCTGACGCTTAGCTAAAAACAGCTGGTATGCATAAATATATGTAACACCTTTTACCAATCCTCTAAAAATACATAAAAAATTGGTAAATGTAATTTTTAAAAAATCAGTTTATGAATGCTGAAACTCAAATGGATAAGCTGATCTCACAACTTCCTGAGTGCAGGTGAGAAGCAGTACATGCTAGGCAGCATGCCTGAGCACTGACCACATCTCTGTTCATCAGGCAAACCACCCAGCTGTACATTCACACTTCAGTGTTGGAGGGTGCATGAAAGGTGACTACTTAGCTGCAGTTCAGTAAACACTGTCCTTAAACTCTCAGCAGTGCTGAAGAGCATTGCTTACTTTGCAAAACAAGTTTCCTGTGCTCTGTATTATAAATCATTATAAATCATAATTGCCAATAAATTGTACACTGGTACTAAACCAGGAGCTAGCCAGCAGAACCCCAGGGACTGGATTCAATAGTACAGCCAGGGAAGAAAGAGGACACAGGCAGGCAAGATGACTGTGTAACGCAGTAGGAATAAGAAAGGACTTCAAAGGACACAAGGAGCTAAACACCTTCAAGTGATGCTAGAGAGAATATACTACAGTGTGAAGGTCACTAGGAACATAAAGGATGGTGGAACTAGCACAGGAAGAAGGCAAAAGTATAGTCAAATGTTCATCTTTAATGGCTCTCATGTTTAAGTCAAGTGCTTCCAGATCAGATGAACAGCTAAAAATCCCTACTAAGGAGATACTGTCCTCACTGAAGAGAGGACAAGTGAAAAATCTCTCACAGCCACTGATGCTGAGCAGTCCTAGCCCAATTAGATTTTGCACTTCATTTAATGTAAGGAGTCTCAGAAGTAGGCTGACAGAAGGCAAAGTCATAGAAATAAGAAAATGAATAAGAAGTTTATGTATGCTTCTAGTGCCCTTGCTCCATCTACCTCTTCTCCAGGGCCCCCTTCTGGTCCTAGCTCAGCAAAGTCTAAGATGGCTGCCAGCTCCTCCCCATCTGTGGATTTTATGCAGCTTTCCCTCTAAAACAGGACAGGGAGCTGGCCCTCAGTCTTCCACTAATGTTTTTGGTGGATTAGCTGTCACATTAGCCAATGTATAAAGAGTAATACCATCCTCTGATCGCTCAGACACAAGAACCAAAAGCTAAGCTTGTCCCTCCCATTTTCCCAATACCAGCCCCTTCTTCTGTTAAGCAGCTTATTAGAGGAGAGTACTGCCTTTTGGCTAAAAGAAGCTTAAGCTCTTCAGAGAAGCAGTGGAAAAATGCTTGTACGCAGCTGTTTAGGTATAGCAATGGTTTAAGTAGAGTGGGACGGGATGGAGAAAAAGGCACACTGGGTCCAAGTACCATGAAACACACGGGGGGGGGGGAGCGTGGATGAGTGGGGTGGCAGCAGTTCCCCAAGGACATGCACTACAATTGGACCAGTGCCCAAAGGAAAAAACTGGAGATGGAAAAGTCATTTTGGGAAAAAAACTGCGTCAGGAGAAAGATTTATCCTCCCCAACCCCAAATCATGCACTTACAAAGAATGGCAGGCATTCCCAACTTTTGCTAAGCTCCCATACAAGAGAAGTATGATATTCAACTTCATATCAAATTAGAGCAAGGCACAAATGACAATAGCAAAAAACATAAAACTTTTTCTAAAGACATCTCTTCAACAAGGTTACTGCCTGTGCTCACATTCTGGCATCCTGAATCCTCAAAGTACCACAGCCTTGTTAAAACCTTCTCACATCAGACAATGAAACTACAGTATTTAGGAAACATTTTGTATTCAGTAAGAGAAAAAAGCATCCCGGAACTGGAAATGGAAGCACCAAAATTCACCATGCAGCAAGCTTCACATTCTCGGTTCGAAACTTTTTATGCTATAAACCAATGTGGAACATGGAAACCCAGCCAGCTAGTTTTTTTAATACCTGTGATAAGTCTTCTTAGCTAATTCAGAAAGAAAACCTCTATCATTAACAGGGTGATACATTTGGTTATATGGATCCTTAAGTTTTAATTTGTCATTTAGAAAGAAAATATATCCAGCACCCAGTCAAGTAACAAATTTCAGAGACCTCTTCTCTATGTGAAGTATGTCCAATCTATTAATAAAGACAAAATATTTTGTAAATAGTGGCTTAGGTTGCCATGGAAATGCAATTCAGGCAGCACTTAAAAAAATTTTTAATGCTTTATTAGTGCTATTATTACTTAACCTAGAGTAATGCAATTATATCTACATCTTTGGACATGAGTAACCTGGTATGCTGTTTACTGACCAAGAGAATCAATAAAAATTCACCTGGGATTTTACTTATCACCCCTTACAAAAAAACAACCAACCAAACAAATAAAAAAACAAACACAAAAGCTCCACAAACCCACAGCTAGTATGAGACAATAATCTTTAATGCTTTTAGTGTGTGAAAAGCTTCCAACTTAAACCATTTAAATAAATTAGATAGCATGGCGCCACTCTTTAACTGCATACCCAAATACAGAATCTCCAAATCTACTAGATGTCAAGGTTCAAACATTAAGTGATATGTAAACTGACCTGGCTGAGATACAGCAGTGGCTGTAAACTGAGTAGCCCAAGGGGGATTCTTCTGTCCTCCAAACTGAGCCATGGCAAAAGGCAAAATCTCCTGGGTGTCTATCTTCTATAACTGCAATCTATTAAAATAAAGCGCAGCTACAGTCTTTGACGCATACACCATCAGTCTACTGTAATTCTGGGTCAAAAAAAAAAAAAAAAAAAAGCGTTGAGAGATTATCTTTACACCCCTAAACCTGGCGGGCAACACGCATCAAAAGTAGGAAATACAGAAAGTTGCAAGACAAGTTGCTCTATTTTCCTAAGGCACGATCTCCACCCTCCCCTTCTTAATAATGGGACTACCACTACTTAAACGGAAAAAATTATTGAAGTTTCCACCGAAGCCTAAGGGAAAGGTGACTCTGCAGAACGAAGAGTTTTCATTATTTCTCGCTCAGGGATACTGCTCGGCGGTCACCGGGAAGCGCTGCCGGCAGAGGTACAGCGCACGCTTCGGCTTCCCTCCCCCCCGAACAAGGGCGAGTTAAACCACGCGAACATGGCAGGGCCGCTCTCCGGCTTCGCGGCTCGCCTCCCTCCCTGCCCCGCCACCATGGTTTTTAAAAACGACTCTACCCCCTCAGCAGCGCTATTCTCTCCCCGTTTTAGGGGTTGGGTTTGGGTTTTTTTCCCTTTTTTCGCGCGTGGCCTCCAAAAACCATTGCGAAGGCGCAGCCACGGAGCGGAAAACACAGCACGGGTGAAATGAAAAGGGGAGAAGGCGAGCACTGGCCCTCATTCCCGGCCCTGCGCGGCGGCGGCACACCAACTGCCCCACCCCCCGCCGCGGCGAGGCCGCCGCCGCCTGCCCCTCCTCCTCCCGCCGCCGTCGACCAACAATGCGGGCCTGAGCGCGGGCCCGCGCCCGCCGTGCTGCTCCCCACCCCAGGCGCCAGCAGGGCCTGCTCCGGGAAGGTCGCCAAGGCCTCAGCGCGCCACCCGGGCCCGTTCTGCCGCTGGACGCGGTACCTGAACGGCGCCTCATTGGAGCCATCGCCAGCCCCTCCGAACCTCCCGCACCGAACGCGCCCCCACTGCGCAGGCGCGCCCACCCCCGCGAGGAGTAGCAGGCGGCGGCGCACACTGCTTACGTTAAGGTCTGCGACCGCGCGAGACGAGATCAGGCTGACGGTTGGGCTCGCACTCAGCGTGCCGCGTGCGGAGGGACCGTTAGGCGAGGGAGTGCGGACCCTGCGCCATCTTGGTCAAGACGGGCGGACATAGGGTGGGGCTGGGCAGTCGCCATCTTGCAGCTGGGCCTAGATGTTGTGTCCACCACGGTGGCTGGCTTTTGCTCCGCCTTTTACCCCGCCTTACGGCCTACTACTTAGTGTAAGTCCAGGCGTACTGTAGCTGTTGGGCACGCGCCACTTCACAGGGACCTTAATGGGGGAGGAAGTAGGCCGTCCTTCAGGCTGAAGTAAAGCCGTGCTTGAGCCCCCTAGAGCTGGTTTTATGCATGCAAGCATTTATGCTATTACGGAGAGAGGAGAGTAATAGGATCATCTGAGGTGAAGGGAGTTCACCAGACTCACCAGAGGGATTCATCAAAGCATTCAGGGTGCTTTGAAGCAGTTTGTACCCAGGAATCATTGCAGTAAGTAGTTCTGTAGCACGTAGGCAAAAGTAGTTGGTCTTCCTGCTTTTGATGATGGTACAAAGAGCCTTCCATTCCTTAAGTAGTGTTTTACACGGGTTTGCTTCGAGGTGAACTATGCACACTTGAAAGTAAAGTCAATGAGCCACCGTTTGTAAATGAAAATGGGACTTCGAAGTGTTTCATTTGTTGTCATTAAAAATAGGGTTAGAGAATAAAATCTTAAGGGGCAATAACATGAAACTTTTCAGTGCGCTGCATTATGAACCACCAGGATGCAACTAAAGGAAGCAGGATACCACCAGGAGAAGGTGAATTTCTGCCAGCATTTGGTACTCATCAAAGACAGATCTGCCTTAGCCCTTTAAAATACATTGAAAATTACATGGGGGTTTAGATGTTTTACACTGATAAATGTGTTTAAGTCCAGACATTTTAAACATAACATCTCTTCCTGGCATAACTATGAATAAAGCAGCATCTGTACTATTTAACCTGGAAATAAGATTAGAGGCTGAGAAAGTAACAGGGCCCTCCCACACTATAAATGTAAAAGACAGTGGCAAAATTGTATTAAATGAGAAAATAATTGGCAGTGATAATCAGAATTTTATAAAGTAGCTCTGTTCTTCAGTCATTTGGACCAGGACTTTGTTTATCTGAGGATGCATACTTCATAGTGATAATGTCAAAGAAAGCCTTAGAAGCTCATAGGAGCCACCAGCCTGATTTCCTGCACCTCAAGCAGAACATTACTTCTTGTACTTCTTCCTATCCACAGAGATACTGCTACCATTACTGGCAAATTTGCTGCTGCCATTTATAGTACATTAATGATTCCTTTTGAATTCTTTTGAAGATAAACCATGCTGCTTTAATGAAAAAGAGTTGTTATGGAAATCACAGTGAAAAATGTGAGCACTTGTAGTCTAATTTCTTAAAATAATTCTAGGTACCCTAAGTATCTTTCAGGTACAATTTAATCCAAAATTGATGAAGAGGCAGAAGTCTGAAAGATAGAAGAATTCTACAAGTTAACTTAAAATAATAATGCAAGTTGAGAGAAAGATAAACGGCAAAAACCATAAAGCATATGCTGCTTCCAGCCTTCTTGGTGGTTTCAAGAATTAAGAACATGCTGGAGATATTGTGGAGCGAAATGGTAATTTTTAGAGCTCATAATTGACATCATATGTCTTCTGTCACAATCAGTACATTTAATAAAGATGCATGGAAAAGCACAAAGAATTTTAGTATCAAGGCATGCTGCATAGTGGTAAAATCTCATAGTGCAGGTAATTAATACTTTGGAGCTGTGGTCTTCAGTATTCAGCTCTGCCTTTGCCCAGGAAAGCCACGAGGTTCATCTGCGGCACCTTCCACAGTGGTGTACATGCTCTTTACTAACCAGAGTTTTTCTGGAATGAAAATACATATGTCCCCTTTGAATAGAGGCTTATTTGGTTCTCTTTTAAATACTGTTACTTAAAAAAGTTTAAAACTCATAGCTTTCCAGTTTGCTTTTAAGGATCTATGACCAAAAGAGCTCTCACAAATACACAATACTCTTTGGATCCAACCTACTCATAGAAATAAATACGTAATAGATAAATACACAATAAACACACAGCACCTAGTATTACTGAATCAGTTCTGTAAAAGCAACAGCTAATACACTGAAAAGTATAAACACTGAATTAGCAAGTAGAAGCACGCTATTGGGTATAAGTGGAATACACATTGAGAAGTGGATATAACAGGTCTTCAGTGAGCATGATGGATGTTTAAAAAGCTAGTGTATGGTTTTGCTTTGAGATAGAGAAGTTTCTCCATTAGCTCAAGGGATATGAAATTGTACTGTTTCTGTACACAGTGTAAATTTTGGACCTGCACTGATGTTGGTATGTATCAACATTGGCTACGTTATATTTGTTGTTTGGTGCAGCATCTCACCTTCAACTGAGAAAGAAAAAGAACTAAAATACTGTCATTCATTTTAGAGATAAAACCACATTTGTACGTAGTGAAGCTGACTAATTATTCCAACTTCAGATCCCTAAGATGTTGGAGAAGCAGAAAAATAATCACGTTTGTCACTAAAAAAATATTTGCTATCTTGAGACACCCCTAAGGTGTCTCATAGGAGTAATTGTATCATGAACTTACCACAAAACAGAAGTGTTTGCTGCAGAGGTTTTGAAATCTAAAAGGAATGGTTGGGTATCAGCTGCAGATAATGTTTTTGTTGCCTTCAGGAAGAAGTCCTACCTTACAGCTTTGGGAAAGTAAACGTCCTGTTTTTGCAATAAAGTGTGAAACCAGAAACTGTTACAATGATTATCCTTCTTTTGAAAATGAGAACATGAGTAACGTTGGTCTTCAAGAGATTGTTGGGAACTGTGTGCTTCAGGGACAAGTTCCCCTGTTACCTACAGTAGCACAGATTGCTTCACCATTAGTCTTTAATAAATCACTATACATTATTGACACTATGCATAGAGTTCAAAGCCATAATAAATACGTTATGGCTGAACACCTTTTATATAGTGTTCTTTATACAAAAATTAAGCACTTACCAAACATTTGTCACTCTACAGCAGTGACAGAGGTACTGTGGTATTTTCCTGCATCAGGTAGAACAAAACCAGTTTGAGGTCTTAGGTGTGTGCTGTAAGCTTTAATGGTCTTTAGAGGTTTACAGAATTATTTAAAAGGTAGAATGCACTTCTCAATACTCCACAGCTGCATTGCATATGATGCAATTCGGAAATACATCCCAATATGTTTTGCAAAAAGGTTTTTAATTGTCACTTTGATGGCTAAAGGGCATATGTAACAAAGCTGGCTTAGTTCCAAAGGGGTTCTAACAGAACTGAAGCAACTCTCAACATAGTCCAAAGTTGAAGTTAATATTTGAACAAATAAAAACATTTACAGAAGCTGTACAATTTTTAAAAGAATATTTGAAATGAAGTAAAAAAATGTGTAGAAAAATCAGTCTATTAATAGGGTAGTTCCACCCAGGAGTAACAGCTGGACTTGAAAGGAGAGTGATGGAAGGTCTTTCCTTAGAGAACTGCTTTAGTGCAGGCAATGCTAGTGGCAGTGCAGAAGAGGTACATGGTATTAAGTAAGTGCAGCTTTACTGTTACTTAACTGTAGTTCTTGGTTGCAGTTACGGCATAAAGCCTTTCACAGCCTCTGTGGTTACATTAAAAAAAAAAAAAAAAGACTAGAAGGGTTACATAAAAGTCTTCAGCTAAAATTTTTGCAACATAGACTAGATTCAAGAAAGGCATTTCTATAAAAATAAGAAAACTAAACAAGTTTCTGCAAATAACTTGGAGGATATTCTGAGGTAAATAGAAGACTGAACAGATTGTCAGTAATGCCTAGAGGAAATGTAATCTAAATACTGTTTCAGTGACCTGTTAATGGGGCAACTCACCACTAGTGAGGTAACTGCATTTCTGTTTCAGTTCTGAACTCAGATCCTTAGGCAGAGGCCATCAGCATCTGTGTTGTTTGCTGCTATTCTGTCAATCCCACGAAAGCTTGGCTTTTATTCACTTGAACCAATGCTTAGGCACAGTAATTTTATATAAGCAACTACACATAAAAAAAAAAATTCTTCTGAATTGCCCCATTTGATACTTCAAAATTAAAAAAAAAAATTCTTACGATTGAAAAGATATATTAGAAGGAAACCTTTCTAAAAATTGTTCTGGGTGATCATAGTTAATGCTTTAAAGTCAGAGAAACACATTTCTTGCAAAAGGGAGAAATCTTGAAACTACCTTTTAAGGGTAAGGTAATTTCTTAGACAGATCTGGTTTCAGATTTTACAATGTTCAGCTTTACTTAACTATTTAATATTTTACTTCTATCAGAAGTACTTACCGAGTCTTACAGTTCTTTGGGGAGGGCAGGATATGTCTTGATCTAATGTTGGTTGAAGGAGAAATCACAGTTATGAATGTTAGTTTAATGTGGAAACTTCTTTTCAGGCTTAGGGAGACCTGTAATGTTTGGATCATTCTTCATGGTTCATGGCAGAAAAAAGAAGCATGAAGTAATGGGGTTTAAGCATTCCTTTCTTTTACCCAATCTGACTTGTATTTGGGTGCTTTAGGAAAGTCCTCAATACCTTTCGTAAGGCCCCGTTTTTCTGTGTGTATCAGATTTGAATGTGTATACAATAAAGGATTTCTCATCTATCTTCTTGCAGTCTTGGGGTAGCCAAGCTATGTGAAAGGCAGTCAGTGCACTTCTGTAGGCAGGCAGTAAAGAAGACTGATCAGAAAAATCCTGAGCACCTTTTTAATCTTAGCTCTGTTGCTTTAAAAGCAAGAGACTGAGGGATAAGAACCTATTTCCCTTCCAAAACTGCCTGCAATATTTAGCCTCTTCCCGTAGCAGAGCACAGGCCTCTGATCTGAAGGACAGGCAGGCACAATTCCCAGTGCAGAACAGCTGAGTGTAGTCTCATGCTTCATGACTTAG